ACTAAGCCTCAGTTTCTTCATGTATCTGCTGAGGAAAACCAATTTATAGTGTTGCTGTGAGAATTAATGAAATTATACATGTAAAGCACTGAACACATTGCTTAGCCCAGAATAAATGCTTGATGTAAGTTAGCTGTTTTTTAACTAAAAATTCATGAAGCCATGGAGAGTTTGGAATGGAACCATGTATGTCTTACTTAATTCTTTGGGCCTGTGGATCACAGAAATGATATGCTTATTCTTTTTAAAAAAAGATACTGATTTATTTTGGTTTTTAATTCCTTGGAATTTTTCATGGTGACCTTGTCTAGCAACTAGCAAGAGTTATCATAGTTTAATCCCTAGGAAATCTGTGAAAACTTGTTCCAGGTAGATAACCTATGCCCTTGTGGTTTTAGACTTAAGTGCAGTTTGAAGTTTCTGATCTTTGACAAATAACTTGACTATTAACAATTAAGATTGACACTGTGTTTTTTGAACCATTTGAAAATAAATCAGTTCATTCACTTAAATGTAATCTTCTGTTTTCATTCAGAAGAATGTATCTTTAGCCTTTATTGTTCTGCAAAAGGTCATTGGGGTTTTTGTTGTTGCTGTTTTGGTTTTTTTTACCAACTTTTCTTACAAATTGTGGAGTTCATAGTTGTTATTTTGTTTGGATCATAGTTATTGAAAGCCTTACAGATTTTCTCATTCTTAAGTTATCAAATAGAACTTGGTATTATAAATATGTATTTAGGTTTTATAAATGTATGTTACATTTCCCGATTGTGGCAATTTTCTTCTTATGTAGAATAGAATACTGCTGTTGCTAGGGTCATGAATATTTGAACTCTAACTAGGCTATTTAGCCTTCTTTTGTCTGTGGCCACAGATGTTAACTAGACAGAATTAGAAATTTTTGATATACTACAGCAAAGCTATCACTACCAGTAGTAAAACAGTTCAATGCATATGCCTAATACAGGAGTCAGTAATGTTGTCTTCAGATATATTTATTACTTTTTCCTTTGTACTTATTATTTTTTTATCAAGGTGAAATTCATATAATGTAAAATTAACCATTTTATTAAGGCGAACAATTCAGTGGGATTTAAGTACATTCACAATGTTGTACAGCCACCACTTTACTTAGTTTTCAAATATATTTCATCACCCCAAAAGGAAACCCATTTTCCATTTCCTTTTTCCCTAGATTGTTGGCAACCATAAGTCTGCTTTCTATCTCTGTGGATTTACCTATTCTAGATATTTCACATAAATGAAATCATACAATGTGAGGCATTTTGTGTTTGACTTCTTTGACTTTGCATATTGTTTTCAAGGTTCATCCATGTTTCAGCATGCATAAATACTTCATTATTTTTATGGCTGAATAATATTCCACAATTGGTTTATTCATTCATTCATTGATGGACATTTGGATTGTTTCTAACTTATGGCTATTGTGAATGGTGCTTCTGTGAATATACATATACATGGATTTGTTTGAATACCTGTTTAATTTTCTGAGGAACGATCAAACTATTTTCCACAGAGACTGTACCATTTTCTGTTTCTACCAGCAATTTATGAGTATTCCATTTTCTGTATATTCTTGCCAGTACTTGTTTTCTGTGTTTTTATTTTTTCATTATATCCATCTAAGTAGGTGTGAAATGGTATCTCATTATGGTTTTAATTTGCATTTCCTTAATAACTAACCACATTAAGGATTTTTTTGGTGTGTTTTGGGGTCATTTATATATTTTCCTTGGAGGAATATCCAAGTCCTTTGCCCATTTTTTAATTGGGCTGTCTTTTTATCGTTAAATTACAAGAGTTCTTTATGTATTCTTAATATTAGACCCTTATCGGCTAAATGATTTACAAATACTTTTTTCCCATTTTATAGATTGCTTTTTTACTTTCTTGATAGTGTCCGTTGATTTTTAAATTTTGATTAAGTCCAATTTATTTTTTAGTTATTACATGCACTTTTTTGTCATATCTAAGAATCCATTGCCAAATCCAATCTTTATCCTTAAGTTTTCTTCTGAGTTTTTTGGTTTTAGTTCATATATTGAGGTCATCAGTTTTGAACTAATTTTTATATATGATGTGAGATAGGGATCTAGCTTCTTTCTTTTGCATGTGGATATCCATTTGTTCCAGCACTAGTTGTTGAAGAGAATAACTATCTTCACTGAATGGTCTTGGTATTGTTGAAAATCAGTTGACCATAGATGTATAGGTTTCTCTCTGGAGTCAGTCCTATTCCATTCATCTGTACGTCTGTTTTTATGCCAATGCCACACTGTTTTAATTACTATGGCTTTTGTATCAAGTTTTAAAACCACAAAGTGTGAGTTTTGTTCTTCTTTTGCCTTACTGTTTTGGCTATTTGGAGTCTCTTGCACTTCCAATGAATCTAAAGATTGATTTTTCCATTTCTGGGGGAAAAAAGGCCATTAGACTTTTGATGGGCATTGCATTAAATCTGTAGATTGCTTTGGGTAGTATTGCCACCTTAACAATATCAAGTCTTTGGGTCCATGAACACAAGATTTTTTTTCAATATTTAGGTCTACTTTAATTTCTTTCAGCAATATTTTGTAGTTTTGTTTTTTTTTTTTCTTTTCTTTTTTTTTTTTTAAGCTTTATAGGTCTTGTAGTGTAGTTTTTAGTATACAAGTCTTTTACTTCCTTGGATAAAGTTATTCCTAGATGTTTTATTCTTTTGGATACTATTGTAATTAGAATTATTTTCTTAATTTCTTACCATGTTTTCATTGCTGGTGTATGCAAACATTACCATATTTTATATTTTGTGTGTTGATCTTGTACTCTGCAACTTTGATAATTTATAACTCTAGTAATTTTATTGTGGATTCTTGGGGATTTTTATTATTTTTGTTTCTTGATTGTTCACAATGTATCTGTGGTCTTTGCTTAGGAATCAGGATGAAAAACTGTATACAGTTTTCCATTTATAACCTTCTAACTAATCTTGCTTTATACTGGTTCCCTTGCAGTTTGTTCTTCATGTAATAGCTAGAGTAGCCCTTTAAGGTAATGGATAAGGTCATGTCACTTATATGCAAAACCTTCCACAGGCTTGTACATCAGAGTAAAAGCTTAAATCTTGACAAAGACCTACAAAATCCTCTCTGATCTCTCTGATCTCCAACTCTTTATCACTTTACCTCTTGTTCATTCCAGTCATAGTGACCTTGGCCTGCTTCCTGGAACAATCTATCTAATCTATTGAGGCCCTTTGTACTTTCCTTCTACCTAGAACCCTAGTCCTCCAAATATTTCAGTGGTTCGTTCTCTGTCTCTTTAAGATCTCTGCAAATGTCATCTCCTGAGAGTCTTCCCTGACTACCTTTACTAAAATAGCACCTAATGTCATTCTTTATCTCCTTGCCCTACTTTATTTTTTCTTCAAACCCCTTATCTGACATTGTACAGAATAGAAATTTCCTGAAGATAGATATTTTGTCTGTTGTTTACCACTGAATCCTCAGGTTTTAGAATGGTGTCAGGTATAATAGGCACCTAATAAATATTTGTCAAATGAATTAATAAGTGAAGTTTCTTAAGTAAAAGTAAAAGGAAACTAATATATATGCAATATTCATAATGAGCCAAACATTGTTCTAGGCATTTTATATCTGTTGTTCACATTTAATCTTCTCAATAAACTTATGAAAATAGATATTATTCCCATTGACCAGGGAAACTGAGACTTAGAAAAATTAAATAATTTGCCCTACCCAGGATTTAAAATCTGGTCTATAGTACTTGATTACAGAGCAAAGACTTTCTCTACCCTGGGGTTTGTTTGGTTTTTTTGTTTGTTCTTTGGATTTTGAGACAGGATCTTGCTCTGTTGCCCAGGCTAGTGCAGGGCATCATCATAACTCACTGCAACCTCAAGGCCATTTTAGGTATAGGAAATAACATAAGTGAATATGAAAAGGAAACTTGTTACACAGATAATAAAATTTATCAGGCACTGAGAATTAATGTTTAGGGGTGCTGTGAGATAAATTTGAGGAAAATGAGTTGGTGGTTAAATTGTGAAGAACTTGAATACCAAGGCTAAGGTGTTTGAACATTGTGATTATTAGAGAGATGATACTAAACATTTGTATAGGCCTATTTATATGAGCAATAGAATGTAGTGCTTAAGAGTGAACTTTGTAGCAAAATGATCTGGGTTCAAATCCTGGGTTAGCTCAGTAGCCCTGAGCAAAGGACTTAACCTCTCTGTGCTCTAGTTTCTTCATCAGTCAAATGGAGATAATAGTTTTAAGTCAAGAGCCATTGTGATGATTAAATGAATTATTAAATTATTATATGTGAAAATACTGAGAACAGTGCTTAGCACTAAGCATTGTATAAATATTAACTGTTATCATTTGTATGACATTTAAATTTTCACATTGCTTTCACGTGTACTATTTCTTTTTAAATTCACAGCAACTTTGTGAGGTAGGTATTACTATAATCTGTTTAATGATGGAAAAAACAAAGCCAAAGAGGTTATGTCATGACAGAAATTTCCAGCTGACAGAACTGATGTTAAGATTCAAAACCGACCTCTTATTATGACAGGGGGCCATTCATCATCTGTGGCAAATGTAGCTTGTTCTTGCTCTATAAACCTATCTTGCTCTTCCTCAATAAATTTCATTTCGTTCTCAAACAAGAAAAAAAAAAGATTCAAAACCATTTCACCATGACTCTGTAATCTAAGAAACTAATAGAACATTGGAATAACATGCTAAAAGTCAAGATTTAGGAAATTATTCAAGTGGCCTTCTGTCCAGTAAAATGAAGCAGGGAAAGAATTTGGAGGCATGTTTTTATCAGGCTCTTAAAATAATCTAGGTTTAGTTTTCATTTATGAAAAATTTCTATGCCAGGTATATATCATTGAGAATGAAGAGAAAAGATAATTAAAGAAGACATTGTGGATTTTATTACTAACCAGTATATTAATGTTCTTTCAGCTATATTTAAACTTGACACAAAAAGAAGTATATGGCCCTTGATAAGAATCTATCGGGGTGGATTTCTTCTGATTGAATTCCTTTTTCTACTGGGCATCAACACATATGGTTGGAGACAGGCTGGAGTAAATCATGTGCTCATTTTTGAACTTAATCCGAGAAGCAATTTGTCTCATCAACATCTCTTTGAGGTAATCAAAGCAAGACATAACATCCCACAAATATAGTTTGGATTAGCTATATAGCTGAATTAGTGGGTACTTAAATCTATCTTCTACTTGAAGAGGACTATTGACTTAATAACTAATCATTTTTCTTACCTTTGTTTTACTATAGATATTTCTGAGTAATGGTGAAAATAACAGTTTTCTCTCTTTTTGTCTTTCCCATCTTTTACCAGATTGCTGGATTCCTCGGGATATTGTGGTGCCTGAGCCTTCTGGCTTGCTTCTTTGCTCCAATTAGTGTCATCCCCACATATGTGTATCCACTTGCCCTTTATGGATTTATGGTTTTCTTTCTTATCAACCCCACTAAAACTTTCTATTATAAATCTCGGTTTTGGCTGCTTAAACTGCTGGTAAGTCCAGAAACTTGTATACCATTTTTAGAGTGGCACATCAGTCATTGGCTTCCTCTAGAAACAAACTAAGGCTGCTAGGTTGAACTCCAGAAGGCACTGTTCACATTGTAATTTATGTGAGTAGTGCCCCAGCTTCCAGAGCAAAGAATACAATGTGACTGATACCCTTGAAGTTGTGTAATGCAGCAGCCCTGGGGAAAGCACACATGCATTTTTTTCCTCCTAAAACAGAGTATGAAGTGGCCAGATTTGAAATGATTTTGCAAGTTGTAATCATTTATTACTTCATTATATAGATTATTTAACCAGCTGCGATAACATATAAAATTTTGTAAGTTTCCTTTTAAAAAAAGTAGTAAAGCTATTGTTACTTTGCCTGTTAAATTGTATAAATAGTCAACCAAACAATATAGAAAAGATTTGTTCTCTAAAAGCAGTAGGAATATCTTGCCAGAACACCAAGCTTAATTTAAGAAATTGACTTTGATTCTTTTTTGTAATAAGTTCCATTTCTTTTTCCACTTCTTTCTAATCTCAAAATCACTCGATTATAATAGGATATAGAGTTTTCTACAAAAATGAAAAGATTTATCCTGTAAAGATAGCTCTGGGAGGGGACTTTTGCTTATTCCTAAATTAAGCCAGCTCTAGTTTGAAAATGAATTGAGAATGCTTTCATATAATTATTTCTTAGATTATAAATTATAACTTAACAGTATTAGTGATTAAATTTACCGATCTCTATACAAACTTTCAGAATTGCCATAATTGTTTTCTCACCTCTTTTTCACCTATAAGTATACCTCCTTGAAGACTAGTTTTTATCTTTCTTTTGTATGCCCCTTAAGATTAGCAGAGTTCTTTTGTTCTTAGTAATACATAACTGAATTTTTAAAAATCTGAAGACAAAATATGGCTTTCTATTTTTTTAAAAAAGGTGGTAAGGTACTTAAATAAAAAAATAATATATGTTCTAATTAAGGTAAGTATAGAAATTAGGAAAAGAAGGTAGCCTAGATCTCTTTGAATTTTTTTTGCAAAGTTAATTGTTTTTTCTTTGTATTTATTATGGGAATTTCACCTTCCACCAACATTTGAGAGTCTCTCTTTTCCCTCCAATTTCATTTTTTTAACAAAGTGTGAATCATTCAATTTAAGTGTAGCACTCGTAGGCCTAAGTTTGGGGTTTGACTTCTGTGTTTGGAACTTAAATGTACAAGAGTATTTTGATTAGCCATAAGTATACCATTGCCTGTAAAACATTTTGTTATTACCTAGCAAATATGCTTTCTAGAGAAGTTTGTTTTTATTTTTGAAGACAGAAGAAAAGTGTGATTCGTTATTTCTCTCTTGAGATTTATACTAAAAATTAAATCATTACCAGTTTTTATGATATTAGGTTATGGTTGAGATTATCATTTTATTACTAGATTTTGTGAAGTTTTTAAACTGTTATTTGCATAAAAAATACAGCATTCCTCTGGCTACAAAGAAATACCTTTAAGATATAAGTACCTTTTATTTCCTGCCTCAATGAATATGAAATCTTCATAAAGATATTTTTAAATGAGATTTTGGAAGACTCAGAAAACTCAAGTGCTATTACGATTGGATAATTGCAATAACAGGATAATATAGTTGTGTGCATTGTGTGCTAAGTGAGCATTTCCCCAGTGCATCCGTCTTTGTTTAAATAGCAAGCTGTGATTCATGCATGACCAGTTACACTTATTAGCAGAAGGATTCCCCATTGAGCAGACATTTATCTATGAGTTTGCTGTGTGTTTGTTAATAAATGAGGACTTCCTAATGGAATAAATTGACAATGATGATATAATAAGCAGGAATAAAAGAATAATAAAATGCACTATCAGAAGCCGTGAAATATAGAAAGAAGCATTGTGGTTTGTAATTTTTGTAATAAGAGTTATAAACAGGAAGAATGTTATTATTTATAGATCATTTTAACATTAATTGACCTGTTGACTTAAGTTTACATTTGACTGAGAAAACTTGCCCTTAGACTTAGTGTATTGCTAGTGAATTAATAAGAACGTTTCCATTCTATTTCTGTTTTTCTGATAAAGCTTTTTTAAAACATTATCCTAAAGAAAAACTGTATTTCCTTCCTCCTTTGTTTTTCTTTAATTTTTAGTGGCAAAAGCACATATGTCATTTGGCCATAGTGGTAGGCACTAGGTCCCATTTATATGCATATCTGTATTGGAATATATGGAATTAATATATGCTACAATATCCCCCAAAAAAGCTAAAAAAAATTTTATGAGAAATTTATTTACTCTTATATGAACATTATGTGTCAAATTAGTACACGTTATTTACATCTATTAGATCATACATCTCCCCAAATCTGTATTTGCTTCAATCAGAAATCCAATTAAGAAGCATAGAATATACCTCAGAGTTTTAAACAAAAATATCAAACTATTCTTATAGTGGGCTAATTAAAGTTTTTAAATTAGAGTCCTTTGGTATATAATTTAGAAATCAGTTTTTAGCAATATTTTCTTTGGTTGTATAGTAAAAATTTCACATTGTTTTATAATAATAAAGCAGTATTCTTATTTAATAATGTATTTTATATGTATCGATTTATTTAATTTTTTTAATAACCCATGAGGTTGGAGCTGCTATTAATCCCCATTTTGTAAATGAAGAAACCTTATTCTGAAAAGTTAAATAATGTTAACATATTCTTTCTAATAACTTATTAGTGGCTTTTTTTGTGTATGTGATAAAACATTAGGTATCCGGAATTGTCTCTAGCTTTGACCATACTATTACTCCAGGGAATTGTGTTATCATTCTAATCAGTCATAACAAGGTAGAAGTGGAGAAGTTGAAAGGCCTTAATCAGAATAAGAAAAGAAAGGAGAAGTGAGTTACAGGCTTCTCAGAAGGAGAATTCAGATAAATCTATTACAAAATGAATTTGTCTATGTGTAAATGTCAGGGAGTTAAGTATGATCTATTTATTTTCTTCCTTTCACCCTACCTTTCACAGGGCTACTTATTCTTTTCTCTGTATTTCCAGGGTATTTTGTATATATCTGTATAATAGCACATACCATATGGTGCTATAATTATATTTTTAGGTGTTTATTTGCCCAACTCCTCAAAGGAGGCCTTTGAGGTTAGAGATTGCTTTATTTATCCCTATACTTCCACAATGTCTGACATATAGTGTTTGTTAAATACATTTTAATGACTATATTCTTTCCTTCATTAGTTGTATTATACCAACATTTACTACCCCCTTTCTTCCTCTTTTTGTTTTCTCTTTTTTGTAAATTTTCCCTTCTCAGTTTATTTTAATTTTCTTGCCATTCCCATCCCTTTCCAGTCTCATCCCTTCATCCCTTTGTTTCTTACTTAATGTGTTATCTTCTTCTTCTGCTCCTATGGAGATTTTCTTTATTAGCAGGTTTTTTTGTTTGTTTGTTTGAGACAGAGTCTCACTCTGTTGCCTGGGCTAGAGTGCCATGGCATCAGCCTAGCTCACAGCAACCTCAAACTCCTGGGCTCAAGTGATACTTCTGCCTCAGCCTCCTGAGTAGCTGGGACTACAGGTATGCGCCACCACGCCTGGCTACTTTTTTCTATATGTTTTTAGTTGGCCAATTACTTTCTTTCTATTTTTTTTAGTAGAGATGGGGTCTTCCTCTTGCTCAGGCTGGTCTCGACTTCCTGACTTCAAGCAATCCTCCTGCCTTGGCCTCCCAGAGTGCTAGGATTACAGGCGTGTGAGCCATCATGCCTGGCCTATTAGCAGGCTTTGAGGATGGCTTTGGCAGATTGTAAGAGTAATGATAGTCTGCCTATGTCAGTTAGAAAGAAGAAATTTACCCTACGCTACCACTTTTATAAAAGTCCATGACTAGAGATGGAATTAGACTTCCTGATCCTTTGGTGTTATACCTAAATTATCCTCTTATCTCTGTCTCCTTGGATCCTTTTAGTGCATTCTGCACCCTAGAGTTGCTTAACATATTGTAAAAACTGTGGCCAGCACTTCTTCGTGTGGAGGTAACTACCATCCCACCCTCACCATCCCACCTCAAAAAAGTTTGCTATATCTGGAGCTTATGATTACAAATGACATAGCTTGTCTCTCTGGCTTATTGGACTCATGGATAAAGTATAGGAGTGATCAAGAGACTAAGCCATGGAACCAATAATATATCGGCTCCAGAAAATAATTTCTCAAAGCCTGCATTATATCTCTCAGACATCTGGTTGAGCTTCCAAAGCTCCAAGACAGTACCTTACATAAATAGTTGATACCCAGGATTCATGCATAACATAGTCATTTACTTTTCTGAAATAATAAAGAGAACTACTTAGAGAAAAAGTCGAAAGAACCAGCCATGTCTGAGGAGAGAGTCATAGACTCCCAGGTTGAACATTTCCTCTAAATGGCTAAAATGACCAGGGAGCTAGAGATTTAGACTCATTTTCTCAAAACTGCTGCTTAGTCAGAATTCCTTGTTTCAAAAGTCCCATTTTCTCCTATATAAGATAGAAAGGGTCTGACAGGATGAGGATTAAAGCTACCTTCATTCCACCTTATTTCGAGGTTTGTCAAGGCAATCTGCCCCATTTGTGCCTATTTCTAGTGAGTGCATTAGTGTCTATTATACTTGCCTTCTCTGTGATGTGAGGGTTTCCCTTTGCAGTGGTAAACAGACTTCCACAGAAAAGATAGGATGAGTTTGTGTAGGTCTTCTGTAAAGTGGAGATATCAGTAATACCTAGCTCATAGAATTCTTATGAGGATTGAAATAATGTCTACACTTATCCTGAAGAAAATACACTGCATGGGTTACTGCTCAATACATACAACCTTAATACATTTATCATTGTTTTCTGAACAGTGGGAAGAGGGCTGATTTTTGTGGTGTAATTTCAAGATGAAAACAATCATCACTATGGCATTAGTGAAGTGAAAGTGACTTTGGTTAGAGAATAAGGAATGCTTCAGATGGTATACCATCCTTTCCTACCTATCCTTTGTAAGCAAAGAAGAGCTTTGCATTCAGTTAGCTAAGATGGAAAGCATTCCAGAAATTATCATAGCACTTGCCTCTCCAGCTAAGCTTACTTTAGAACCTAACATTAGACTTCCTCTTGGGGCTTCTACTACTCTGTCTGCTTTCAACTTCAACTTTTCCCACCTCTTTGCTTTCTATTTCCTAACTGTAGTTATTCCTGCCTTTTTTCCTCTATTTCATTTCTTAATTATTCATTCAACTCATTCCCTTTACTGCTAATTCTCAACCTAGCCACTGTTCCCAGGTCCCATTGTTTATCTGTGACTGATTTGTAGGTTTCCATTTTATCAGCTAAAGCAATCATGTTGAATAGTCAGACATGAATTAGATAAATTTAATATGACTTTTCTTGTTTCTGTGTTTTCTGATTTTTTTTTCTTTCTCTCAGTTTCGAGTATTTACAGCTCCCTTCCATAAGGTAGGCTTTGCTGATTTCTGGCTGGCCGATCAGCTGAATAGCCTGTCAGTGATACTGATGGACCTGGAATATATGATCTGCTTCTACAGTTTGGAGCTCAAATGGGATGAAACTAAGGGCCTGTTGCCAAATGATTTAGAAGGTAGGGTACAAATTTGAATCCACACTATTAAATTGCCAGTGTAAAGTAAGCAGTGTTGGGAATGATAAATGAGAAAGTTAAGGTCATGATGAAAACTCTTCCAATAATATTATAAACTTAATTAAATGTTCTTGGCACTCTGTTAGCAATCTCTGTATCTGATATAATTTGGCTTTTAAATTATGTGTTAGGATTTTAGCCATCCATTTGCCAAGAGATTTACAACTTACACTTAAAGAATTCTAAAACTTTTTTTTAAAAAATCTTCTAGTACATTGGTAGTTATATTGCAAATGTTTAGTGCCAACAATTTGTCACAATGTTGCTTTATACCATGTAGATAGCAGTGATCAGAAATACTGATTATTAAAAATTAGATTAAGTGCTTTGAGAAAATCATTATAGACTGCTTTTTAATTCTTATTTGGAACCTTGTTTTTCTTCTGGCTCTTTTTCCCACTCTTAATTTATGCCAGGAGTTCAAGTTATTAAAGAATTTTGCCTTCATGACAGAGATCTAATTTAGATAGATTATGTAACATCTGACTAACAAAAGTTAACGATGAAGCCAATTCACACATTTTCATTGACTGCCAGTGGATCACAACTCTGTTGTAGGTTGATCACACTGTAATACATAACCAGAATTCAAAGAAAAATTGATTTACCAATTCCATTCTTATTTAAAAACACAAAATCCATTTTTGGCTTAAAAAAAAGGTGGTGTACAGTGGCTCGCACCTGTAATCCTGCTAGCACTTTGGGAGGCTGAGGCGGGAGGATCACTTCAGGTCAGGAGTTCCAGACCAGCCTGAGCAAGATTGAGACCCCGTCTCTACAGAAAAATAGAAAAATTAGCTGGACATGGTGGTGTGCACCTATAGTCCCAGCTACTTGGGAAGCTGAGGCAGGAGGATCTCAGGAGCCCAGAAGTTTGAAGTTGCTGTGAGCTATCATTGATGCCCTACTGTACTCTAGCCAGGGAGACAGAGCAAGACCCTGTCTCAAAAAAAAAAAAAAAAAAAAAAAAAAAAGACCATAAGAGCAAATACTCTTGCATGTATTATGTTATGGTGGTTTGGAGTTCATGAAATTGTCTAGAGTCACCTATGATACTTGATAGGTTTTCCTGATGTTTGAAGTTACAGAGCCTACTAGTTTTTCCCCTTTGATTAATATACTTACATTTTAATTTTCTTATAGTTTTATCACACTCCAAAGAAAGTGATTCCAGGACAGATATCCAGAAATCTGAGAGAGCAGATTTTCCCACTAGTCCCCCCTACATATTTTACCATCTCTCCTTGGCTTATCTACCACTAAAAACCTTGAGAATGTAATAGTTGCAAAGAAGAAAATGATTCTGAATTCAGGCTTCTTGCTTTTTTATACACTTGGTAGTGGTTACACTGTATGGCTAAATGATGTGAACAAGTTAATTTTTTAATTGTAATTTTTTTCTTCTTTGAAATCTTCACAGAACCAAGAATTTGCCACAAATATACATATGGTGTGCGGGCCGTTGTTCAGTGCATTCCTGCTTGGCTTCGCTTCATCCAGTGCCTGCGCAGATACCGAGACACAAAAAGGGCCTTTCCTCATTTAGTTAACGCGGGCAAATACTCTACAACTTTCTTCATGGTGACGTTTGCAGCCCTTTACCACACTCACAAAGGTATTCTATGATTGGCTATGAAGAGATTTTTCAAAACTTGGATTTTTACTACTTGAATCTGCTTCTTACTCTGTTTATTTTCCATTTGTCATGTTCTTTGTTTTTCCGTTGAAATTCCAGTTCCCTCAGTTATACCAGTTAGCTCAACTAACAAACTGGTTAGTCTCATTCTACTATTTACTGACAGGTACGATTGAAAAGAAGCATAGTCACCTGGAGTAAGAATATGTGATGATTTTTAAAATCTGAATTATGTTTAATGGGTTCAATCTATGGATACCTTGGGTTTTCATTTGAATTTTTAGACTTCCTTGTTCATTAATGAGGTTGGGAAATGGCTAGGTGAAAAAGATTCCCTACGGCAATCAAATATATTTTTAATCGCTTTCCTTCACCAAGTAGTAAGGATTGTTTCCAGGCCATTTAACTGCAAATTGAGTTCTCTGATCCCTCTAGTTCCTCATCTCCATGGCAACCTGTTATTACTTGAGACTGTTTTTCTGTTGGGAAGAGAAAAAGCTTTTAAGTTCTGTGCCACATGCAGTCATTCCTTTTGAATTTTTAACCTTTTTCCAAGAACTGTCAATCAGTGATTTAGCTTCCTTTTACTAAAATGCATTCTTTCTTTGTCTATTTAAATCAATATCAGCCCACACCTTAGACGCTGCACTTTTTCATGTGTAGGTGGTAAAGAAGTGTTACTAATTGAAATCATTATAATTATTTTTAAATACTTTGGTAAAAAATTTTTCAGTGATTTTTTTAAAATTGTGAGGCCATATTTTAGGAGCCTTAGTGCTACAAAATTGCTACTTATCTAAAGTGTGTCTTATGGTCATTGAAAGGTTAGGGCATTGCTTCAGTAAGCCTTGAGACTTAGTCCAGCATAACACATTATAACATACTTCCACTTTGTGCAGTAGATTCTGTGGCTAGAGTAGTATTGATAAACATAGCCAATAATTTTGCCGCCATGCAGGCTTTCTTGTTAAACGATATAATTTAACTAAGTATGTCAGTGGAGGAAACACATCCCCAAAGCTCCCATAATTTTAACTCTTATGAGGAATGCTGTTATTCAGTTCAAGCATGCATCATGATTTAGAAGGTTGTTACTCGAGCAATTATAAACCAGGCAACTGATTTGGTATACATGATATTTTATGGCTCCTTTTACTAAATTATCATACTTTTCTTCCATCCCAGGTAAAAATGAGTACTACTTTTTTGGATGAATATTTTAGAACATAATATATGTTTAACTACAGTTGACACTTGAACAACTTGGGGGTTAGCTACACCAACCCCCATGCAGCCAAAATCCATCTATAACTTTTGACTTCCCAAAAACTAACTACTGATAGCATGCCTTATCATATAGACAGTCAATTAACATATGTTTTGTATGTTACGTATATTATATACTATATTCTTAAAGTAAGCTAGAGAAAAAATGTTACTAAGAAAATCATAAGGAGAAAATGTATTATTCATGAAGTACAATTATTATTTTTTTGTATGTGTGAGGGATAGGTATCCAAACACAATTGGTTGTACTTAGATTATATTTTATTTTATTTTTAAAATTTAGGCATTTATTTAGAGGTTCTTTTAAAAAGTTAAACAATGTTAATGTTTCATCTGTACATTTTAGTATTATGGAGGTGGATTTTATTTATTTATTTTATTTCAGGATATTATGGGGTATAAACATTTTGGTTACAAGTTATGACTTTGCTTCACCCAAGCCAGAGTTAGAGGCATGCCCTTCCCCTACACAATGCTCACCGCATCTGTTAGTTGTGGGTTTACCCACCCCACCCCCTCCAACATTCAATGAATATTATTACCATAATAATATTAATGAGCACCTAATATATAATGAGCACCTTAGTGTTGGTCAGTTAGTACCAATTTGATGGCGAGTACATATGGTGCATATTTTTCCATTCTTGTGGTACCTCACTTCGGAGGATGGGTTCAAGCTCTATCCAGGATAATATAAGAGGTGCTAGATCACCTGTGTTTTTTGTAATTGAGTAGTATACATATTCCATGGTATACATATACCATATTTTATTAATCCACTTATGGATTGAGGGGCACTTGGGTTGTTTCCACATCCTTGCAATAGTGAATTGTGCTGCCATATACATTCGAGTGCACTTGTCTTTACTATAAAATGTCTTTTGTTGCTTTGGGTAGATGCCAAGTAGTGCAATTGCTGGATCAAATACTATTTATATTTTTAGCTCTTTGAGGTATCTCCAAGTTATTTTCCACAGGGGTTATACTAATTTGCAGTCCCACCAGCAGTGTAAGAGTGTTCCTGTCTCTCCACATCCTCACTAGCATTTGTTGTTTTGGGACTTTTTGATAAAGGCCATTCTCACTAGAGTTAGGTGATATCTTATTGTAGTTTTGATTTGCATTTCCCTGATGGTTAGAGATGTTGAAGTGGAATTAGATCATTGTGAGAGTGTTCATCCTTATCATCTTCATGTTGAGTAGGCTGAGGAGGAGGAGGAAAAGGTGAGGTTTGTCTTTTGCTGTCTCAGAGGTGGCAGAGGCAGAAGAAAATCTGTGTTATCAGTGGACCTGAGAAGTTCAAATTCATGTTGTCCAAGAGTCAACTGTATACTGATACCATTCAGTAAGAAGGTGAAAATCGGAATTCCTCAAATCTATAAATACTCCAAATCTAAAAAGTCCAAGCTAGAAAAGAAGTAGTTTAGATATTATTTTGGTCTTAAGACATTTTCTACTCCAAGAATTTTATAAACTATATTACCTCAGGGACATTTTTAGGTTTACAGCTGAGATTTTTTTCATCTTAAGTTTAAGTAATTACAAAAGATACCATTTCAGTGTATTTTAAATATTTGCATTTTAAAATAAAGCTGCTAAATGTTTCTACTAAACAATATTAATATATCCAGGTAATCTAACTAAAAAGCAGTTTGATCCTTACCATGATTTATTTTTTAAAAAATGAAACAATTCCACAAGTCAGAAAATTTACATCTTTCCTGTTGAACTATATTTTAATGTAATATCTTTATTTTATTTTATTTTTTTTTTATTTTTATATCAAGTTGTTCTCTTTAGGGTATTTATCTTTATTTTAATATATTTTTATGCTTTAAAAATATATTACTTTTGTCTGCTACATATATGTAAATTGAAATTAAATTATTTCCTGTCCTTATAAGGTGCTAAGAGATTGAAAGAGTGAGGACTCACAAGGAGTTCACACTGTAGGTTGGAGAAAGATTTCTCACACCAGGAGTAGAATAGCTTTAGGAAAGAAAGTTTATTTTACCTTCTTGAGAAAGGAAAAAAGAAAGAGAGAGGGAAGGAGGGAGGGAGTGGCCACAGCACACGAATAAAGGAGTAGAAATGCCAGGCAGCTGAGGAAAAGCTGCTTAGAGTATTAAAGGGTAAAAATGATTTTTTTTTCCCCTCTGCTTTAGCAGGCTGATAACAGAAGCAGTGGTGAAGTTGTTGCAGGTTTTCTTTATTTTTATTTTCTCTGTGAGGCTGACTTATCAGAGTCCTTGGAATTTGGTCCTAGGAGGACTAGGCAGAGAGCTTATATCCCTGTTGTCCACTTAAGGCTCTTCAAGACTGAGAAAACAAAACTCTTAGAGATAACAAATTAGGCCACAGGTGTTTTAATTGAAACAAACAGCAGTTCTGTGAGTTTATTTCTCTTGCTTTCTGTTTGATAGTTTATTTTCCTCTGTTAAGTAGGATATTAATAAGGCCACCTTTCAGAGATTTATTTGTTTTCTGTTCTGGGTTGTAATTGTCATTATCCTGATCATTACCTACAATTGACCAAAGCAGCATTACAAATGTATTACAAATTTTAATAAATTAGTGCACACAAACATTTCTTAAAGAGAAAAATTTGTTAATACTATTCCCTTTTTCAATTTTTATATAAGTAAACTCTGAGAAGTCTTACAGCTATGTAGATGAGAATGAAAGGAGTTTTGTTGTTGCAGTGTCAGTTTTATAACTTGATTGAGTTATGGATTCTTGCTCCCAAAATTGCATAGTGGTCTATCATTAGTAATTATTTTTGTGATCAAGTTTTCTTTGTTGAAATCAAATAGTTGAAAATAAATAGAATAAAGCAAAAGAATTGAACATAAACTGAATGAAAATCATTTGTTAACCAATCATTAAAATCATTAACTAGCTCAGTTTCTACATAGTAGACCATCATATGATTATTAATTTTAGAGGTTTATTAAGCCTAACATAAATAATGGTTAGGAAAATTAAATATTGTTAATTTCGATACACATTTACCAATGTAGTATTTTATTATGAAATGCTTTATCTTATCACATTCCTTAAATATCCTTTTGAAAAAAATCCTGGAACTGCAGATTACACTCATCCAATTTATGGAGAATATCTGCAATGTACCTGTACGGGGGAAAAAAGCTTACTCCTCTTCCCCTCTTAAGTGACTGGGGCCCTACAAATTAAATTGACAAAAGATAGATTAGCAGGAGAAAAGGTTTATCATATATGCAAAGGCCTTCATAGTAAAGAAGTAAAGACCCAAAGAAGTGTTTAAACCCCAGGATTTATATACCATTTTTACAAAGAGCATAAATTTTGAAAAAATGAGACAAAAGTGAGGGATTGGCTTTCTGAGATGGTAAATTGTAAAAAGGTAAATATATGGGGAATCCAATGAAGGAAAAGGTTTATTATGCTGACTTAAGTGGTGTCTTCTCCATTGATAAATGTCATCTCTGGTGATTGAGTTGTCCTCTTCTTCCTGGTATGGGAGAGAGAAAAATCTTTACAAATGGAAATTTATGTGACCTTTACAAAGGGAATTTATGCCCTGCTTTTAGACAGAAAGGCAAAGGGCAGAAAACTTTTCCTGCATCTGCTATTTCTCATTTGCCTTTAGCTCAAAATAATCCTTATGCAAAAGTGGCATATTTTGGGGTGGCATACTATGATTTCTTCGT